ACCCCCCCCCCACCACCACACACATGTACATTCGGTCACATGCACATGGACTAAGCCCCCCACACCCTCACACTTTTTTTTCTCTCTCTTAGGTACCAGTCAGTCCCGGAAGTGGACGGCTGACACTCACTTTTTTCCCCTCCTTTTTTTGTTTTGGTGAGTTGGTATGGTGCCATTTTTGGCGTCCCAACCAACGAGCCATCCTCGCCTCGGCGAGGAAGGTAAGCACCTTGCTACCTTGCAACAACACCAACTCCTCTCACTCAAATGATCACACACACACACACACACATGCACATGCACATGCACATGCTTGCACCCACACTTACTCACAGACACACCACGCATGCACATTGGTTCCTCGTTTCTTCGTTTCTACTTGGACTCTGGATTTGCCGACCGCCACCCTCGCCGACTGCACCTGATCGTGCCCTTCACGCTGCCTCTTGTCTCTTCCCCTGTCGTCTCTGTCTGCTTGTCTCTCTTTCTCTTATGCTGCTGCTGCTGCTGCTGCTGCTGCTGCTGCTCTCGTGCTTGTCTGTCCCTTTTCTCTTCTTTTGGCGGCTGTTCGTGGGCCAACAAAAATTTGATTCGATGCACAAAGGAGTGCCCGTCTTGTTGTTGTTGTGGTGTGCTTGCTTCTTGTGTGTTTTTTTTTGTGTGTCGTGCACTCTGATGGCGATAAAACGTAACTGATGACTGGCTGCTGCTGGGTGGTGGCGCAAATGCAAACAAAAAATCGCGTGTGGTGTCAGCGCTTTGCTCGCGGCAGCAAAAACTGCAGTGGAAGGACAGCCCTTGATCGACATGTCGGTGTTCGAGGAGCCAACGCAAACGTTCCACCCGAGTGTGACCATCGACGACGATGACGATGATGGTGGTGATGATGGTGATGCCGATACGGGTGTTACGGACGACGAAGGAAAACAGCAGCAGCAGCTCAGGGCCTCGGCTGTTGCTGATGAAAAGAATGTACCTTCGCAGTGGCAGCACTCGCACCAGCAACGGTTACTGGTGTTGCAGGGCATCACAGGTCAGTGTGCGTGTGCGTGTGCATGTGCGTGTGTGTGTGTGTGCGTGTGTGTGTGTGCGTGTACGTGTGCGTGTACGTGTGCGTGTGCGTGGGCGTGTGCGTGGGCTTGTATGTATGTATTTATGCACTGTTAGCTTGTGTTCTCATTGTCACTTGTCATGACAGGCTCTGGGAAAACAACACTGGCCAAACACATCATGGACCTGGCCGAGCCAAACACATGGGAGCGCATCTGCCAGGACGTACTCGGGTCGCGCGACAAGTGCATCGCCATGGTACGAAACACTGGCGATGGGACATTCAGTTGAGAGAGAACCCCTGTCTCTCAAATCCACACAACTCACACACACACACACACACAACTCTCACACACACACACAAAATCACACACACACACACACACAATCACACATGACACACAAGGCTCGGCGAGCATTGAAGGCAGGCAAGAGTGTCATCATCGATCGCACAAATATGACCAAGCACCAGGTACGCATTGTCATCATTGATCATTTTTCTTGATGCCGTGAAATCGTACATCATCTTTGACTAGCCCTGCTTCTCTCGCACCAACTGTCACAACCGTGCACACACACACACACACCACACACACACACACGTACATGATTGCTCATCACTTTTAGCGCAAGCCGTGGATTGATTTGGCAGACAAGTTCCACATCCGACCTGAAGCGGTCGTCATGCAAACAGCATCTCATGACTGCGTCGAGCGAGCATCAAAGCGCCGAGCACACGAAGGCGGCATTGACGCAGCCAGCGCGGCCCGCATCATCAACATGTGCGTACCAGCGTTTGCGCTTAATGCACACACACACACACACACACACACACACACACACACACACACACACACACACACACACACACACACGCCCCGTCGCACAAGCAACTCATACTTACGCACACACGCACGCCCACTCGCATATCACACGTTGGTTGCAGGCAACTTCGCCAGAAAGACGTTGAACAGCCGTCGCGGTTGGAAGGCTTCTGGAAGTTATATCCGTGCAACAGCACCCGCAGCGACGCAGAGAAGGTGCTCAAGTCCACTCCACCCGTCAAAGCAAAGACGCAGGCGACACTGCAGATGCTGTTTGCCAAGGTCGGAGCATCACAGCAGCAGCCGCACATGCACGGGCAACGAGTGCAGCACCAACACAAGGCACCATCTTCTGCAAAGCGGGCCGCTGCTGCCTATCATGAAGACAATGGCCACGGTGGTGTCACTGCCTCGCAGCGACAGCAGCCGTCAGCAAAGAAACCAAAGGTGGTGGAGGCAAGTCCCGATTTTCCGAGCCCAACAAAGCGGAGCACCGCTGGGCGGCGTAGGCGGCGTGCTCGTCCACGGAAGACCGGCGCAGACACTGGGGTGCCTGTTGGGGATGTCATTGACCTTGATCTGGACATTGGCGCAGGGGCTCGCGCTGGTGGTGCTGATCCCACAGA